AAAAAAAAAAAATGATTTAATAATTTATTAAAAATAAAGGTATGATTAAAGAAAATAACGAACTTACGTTTATTAAAAGTAGCAGCACATTGTTCATAATGACGTTTTTTTCTAGCAATTAGTTTCTCTTGTCTTTCTTCTTTATCTTTAACTTTTCTCATAAATGCATAATCTACACCAAATAAATAACCAGGCCTTCCTTTATGGCGTTGTAAAGTCAAAACAATTTTATCATCCTCCAAACTTATCATCTGCATAGCATTGGCATGAGCTATATCAAATAAATCTTCTAATTGATCTTTAAACTGTTTTTCCTTATTTATTTGATTTTCATTTCTACTTGTTGCATGTTTCTGTAAATTTCTCCATTCATTATACATTTTTTCTAATTTTTCAATACAACGTTGAAAATCTCTAGTTGGTATTCGCGCTTTTTCCCAAAATATAATTGTTTCTTTTAAAACTAAAGAGCAACTCTGTCTCACATTAAGCTTCACTTTTCTAAGATTATAAAATAAAACCTTTAACACTTGCATATTGGATGGTAACTTACTGCCTATAATTTGATTTGCATCGTCTCCGATTAAATATATTTTCGTTTGATCACGAAGTTCGTATACTAGTGACATTATAACATCTATTTTACAAATGTACTTTGCAGTAACAACACTAGTGACTTTGCAATAACTAATGATAAATACGAACATTCACGGTCGTCACAATTATGATTCACATAATCACATTAGATATCAAAAAACATTAAGATAAAATCGGACTATGACGATTATAATATGAACTGTATCGATGGGGTATTTTTATATTTACAGACATGTCTATGGTTTATTATGATAGTAACTTTAAGGGCTTTGAGGCACGGGTTAAAATTATCCGATTATATTCAAATTTTGTATACATAATTTTTATACATATTGGAACCTCTTTAGAGACATCGATTATAAATAATAGTAATAAAAAAATAAATCCCTATAAATAAGAACCACCCTAATGTACACTGTTTTCATCAGGCTGAAATTTTATTTAAGATGCCCCCCGTAAATCTGTTCTAGATCCGCGCCTATTATACAGAGTTGTATTTTTTCTTCGTATATAAGCACATTTGTTTCTCCTCCCCCTTCCGGGTCTTCACTCGTATGTAATTAATTGCACCGCAAATATTCTCAGAACACCACGGTGGTAGTGAGAAACCGAAAAACGTATTTCCTATTTAGGTTCTTGTTTATTTTCTCCATCACTGTTGCAACAGGTGAATCGTGTTCATGTACATAAGTCTCACCGTCTGCTTAACACTCTCCAGTAATATTGCATTTAAAATAAAGTACACGAAGTGGGCGTAATTTTATTTGCTGTGTCGTGTCAAGTACTCACGACGCCGACGACTTTATAATAATAATAATAATAATAATATAATCGCACTTGTGGTTTTCTTGCGTTTCACGGTCTCGTTACCACATTATTTTCATGCACAGGACATATAAAGAGGAGGAAAAAAAACTTCAAACGAAAGACGTACACAGCCGCAAGGCCGTATCTAGAAATTTTTTTCGGGAGAGGTCTAAAACATGTATATTGTAATTTTATTGAACTTAGATTTTAACTTTTGATATTTGGTTAAAAATAAGACAGAAAAAATTTAATCTTCTTTTATTAAAATTAATACCATATTTTTATATGATATTATGTTATAAAACTAAAAGCAGTCAATTTTTAATTGTAGCTTAAGTCATTTTTGACTGAAAATATTTATATTGGTATTAAAAAAAAATAATTATTTTAAACATTCGTAAAATATCAAAGAAATGTCGGGGAGGGGGGTCCAGACACCCTGGACCCCCCC